CACCAAATCATACCAGCGAGATACACCTAGAAGACTCTATGTGTGGTAGGAGGAATCATCTCCCTAAACTGAATAAATGATCATTCCACATAGTCCACTGAATTCACTTTATAAGTGAATTCTGTTTATAAGTGAATTTCTGTTTTTGCTAACGGAAAAACAATCAGTGTTTCTAGCAATATCTCCATATATGTAATATCTACAAAAATCTATATAGTGATTCATTCCACTCTTTAATTATTCAACAAAAAAGTATAGGATCCATACTAATATATTCCTTGGTTGCTGAAAGAATAGTCACTGTACCCAAAGTTTTTACTGAAATCTAAAGCATGAACTTGGACTTCAAGATCACCAGGTTTTGGGAAGCAAAACCTGGTGGCAATGCGTGGCTTGTTTGGTACCTTCTTGGGTCTACGAAAGCATAACATTCTTGTTCAGCTAACATGTTTGTACATGTTTTGACATCAGTTTGGGGTGTTTTTCACCCATAATTCAATTTCTAGTTCCTTCTCATGCTTTAGATTTCAGCAAAAACTTTACATCCTCAAAGCAGCCTTTCTAACAACTGCACTTAAATAGAAAAATCCCTTTATTCAATCCCGGTTGCCTTGATGTCTCTTATCCTCTATTGAATACTGAGTTTATGAAGGCAGAAAGTACCAGTCTTATTCAAAATTGTAATACGTGAGCCTGATCCAATACCTAGACCAAGGGGAACTATTTGTTAAAACGCTGAATGAATGAATGAATGAATGAATGGCAACTTTATGTATTTGTAAATGTCACATAGTAAACAAAAGAAAATAAGGAAATGACTCCAATAGAAATGCCCTTGGGAAAGTTCTAATTGTGCAAACAAAAATTTTGGTTAGGATGAATGAAAAAAGCGGATCTTTTTTCAATGTTCACATTAAAATCCTGCTAATTTAACAAAGTGTGATACTCTTTGAACTACTTTCCGAAAAAACCACAAGTTGAGACTAGAAAGAACAGCAAAGTTTGTTAATTTAAGGTGGCAACAGAATTTGTTTTTGAAAGTAAAGGCCCTAATCTTCTTCCACTTGCAAATGAACAACAGACATTTATGCATTCCCAATTCAGAAAATAAATTACAGAATCACTTTCCAAAATCACAGCCTTCTTGTCATCCAGATGGCAATAGGCTAAGGGTCCCCACCTAGCTAAATATTTGTTGGTCCTAACCATTGTGTAATTTGGTTGTGATTTATCCAGGTGAAGTCTTGGGTTGGCTGAATGTTTAGGTTGATGGATCTTAACAAACACAAGATCACATATAAAATGAATGATGTAAGTTGTTCTGAGAAGATGTAAATCTAGATAGTATACGTGTTATTCATTCCAGTGTTACACAGATACACAGCCAGGAATCATGATGTGCAATTGTAAACCCAGCACTCTGGGAAGCCGAGGCAGAAGAATCATAAATTCAAGTGAGATTCTGTCTCAAAATACAAATATTATTTTAAAAACACTGAGAATACACTCTGGGCTCAATCCTCAGTACTGGGAGGAAATACCTATAGATGTAGAGGTATTGGTGGGAATTTTCATTTTAGTTTTGGCATCGAAGATCCCTTGCAATGTCAAAACTGAGTAGCTGTATTGACCATGTAAATGAAGCAGAGAAAAACCCAAAGAAGAATGATTCTGCAAGCTTCTCCATCAACAAGCAGGTAATTGGTTTCAGGGATAAACAATTTCATTACCAAAAAAAAAGGACAACTTTTATATCTCGGCTCTTTATAAACAGGCAGGACAACTGCCCTTCATTTCCTGCTTCAGAGTATGGACAGATGGAGGTTGGAATTACAGCTTTCTGGAAATATTGGTTTTGACTACTTTTGTCCTTAATATGTTGGCAATGGCTACCAAGAATATTTGAAAAGTTTATCCCAGTAATCCTGTTCTAGAAGTCCTTTCCAGGAAAATAATCAGACCATGTGTTAGCAAAGATAGTTCTTTATTGCTATATATACACAGTCAAAATTTGGAAACAGAATAGTCTTTTAAATATAAAAATGGACACAAAATGTGATATCCACAGAAAGGAATGACATTTAATTCTTAAAAGTCATGAATTTAATAATTATTGCAGTGTTTCCTTTTGTAAAAAAGTCAATCATTAAATTAGAAAGTAAAATGTGATAATGATATGGATTAAATCTAATCTATTTATCACTAAATCCCTAGTATCTACAAAGCTGCATAAAATGAAGTATTTTCTCCCTTCCTTCTTGCCTACCTTACTCATTCCTTCTTTTTGCTTTCCTTCCATAATCATAAAATAATGAATTAATCCATAGTTATATAATTGTTACACAAGGATTTAATGTTACAAAAAAACAAACTCTAAGAATACTAACAAAATGTTGACATAGACATAGGGGTATCTCTAGTGATTTTATATTTTTATTCCATATATATTTTATTTTACATTTTAAAATTTTTCATAGTAGTATATTTCCTCTGCTATACACAAATTTAGAAATATTTAAAAATTATCAATTTCTGTTGTTAAGTAATTATAAATTGTCAGATTTCCCTCTTTGGGATTCAGGCAGTGTCTATCTCCTTGAACTTTGTTGATAAGAAGTTATTTTGGAAACTGAGGGATTTTAGAATGGTTTTGTCTTTTGGAGGTGTGATAAGGGTGAAAGAGGCCACAGCCTCATCCGATGCTTCCCTGAATAAGGTTGATGTGGAGGGGTCAGTTGGTCCATGTAGTCTGGCAGCTTCTTGGAGAAAATCTGCACTTCCTGGAATAATAAAGAGCAAACAGACTTTTTCTGAAGTAAATGCTCTTATCTCCTGCCTTCATTCTTGTATTTGTATCATAAAAGTAAAACACAAATCTTAAATTTAAGTCTTAGGAGTTTTTAGTTAATTGATAGGTTAATTCACCTTGTATCATTATCTCACGAGACATGTACAGACAGATCACATTGTATACCATACATACATAAATGTATTACTTGCCAACCAAAACTTGAAAATAAAAAAATTTAAGAACAGAAAATATATATATTACTTTACTATTAATAAATAGATTTGATTTGACAAAACATTGATTTATATTTGTATAGAACATGTCCCAAAATATCAGAGTACCATTCCTTCTTAGCAATGTGTCATTCTTAGCACTGATTATTAATATTTATTTCTCTTCTCAAAAAATGAATGTTCTGATGTTTCACTTTGTTTCCTCTAATCTCCAGGATAATCACCATAAGAGAAGCTAAAGCTGGAACTGAATTCTGCTCAGTTAAACCTCTTTATCAAACATTTACTGTGCACAGCAAATTGGATATAGTATGACACTGTCTTGATTTGTGTTTTGCATAGAAATTATCTATTTAAATGTATCACATCTAAATTCTACAGTCACAGCCTCACATCATGGAAAAGAATAGAAAGAAAATAAATAAATAAAATCCAATTTAGAGGGGAAAAAAGAAACAGCATTTACCAGCTGAGAGAATTGCTGTATCTGAAGCCAAGCAACACCAGCAGAACAGTTCCAAACTGACTGTGTAGCTGAAAAGATGAATCTTTACCAAGGAAAGAACAGGAGATATAACACAGGGAAAGGTGCATATAGTTGGGGAATGGGGAGTGTGAGGTGCTGATGGCCTTTGAAATAATGCATATGAGCACGGGCTCTCACACCTTGGGCTTCTAAGAAGTGAGAGAAGTTCTAAGAATTTCTAAAGGACACTAAGCAGTTTATCTCATAGAACAGAAGTTCTGTCTCTTCTCAAAGGCACATTACAATTCAGCTTTAAATACCCTTTTTTTTCCCTTTTAACTACTTTTGGACTTGAGCACACTATTGCTAAAATAAGCCTTGTTCATCCTACCATGAGTATACTAACTCCTGACCCACCTACTGCTTGTCAGAGGCTCTCTCCTTTATAAATACCCTACACAAATCCTAAATCCTCTGAGGATACCTTTTGTGAGTCTGTCTGCTTTTAGGGATTTTTCCCTATCATTTGGTAACAGTTCCCTTCATTTGGTATTCATCTGTACTCAGTTAGTTGTCAGGTGCTTTCTTGTTCTTGTTTGCTTGCTCAAAGAGATCTTCTTATGTAATGGATTTGCACAATATACACACTCTTGTCATTGCATATTCTCTTAGTTTATTTCCCATCTGAGAAAAAGTATCTAACACCCACAAATTCCAGGAGGAAAAGTGTGTTTTCATTCGTAGTTTATAGAGGTATCAGTCCATGGTTGGTTGGCTCTAGGCCAGCGTGACATAGCAGAGGATGACAGTACAAGGGAAGCCGCACTTTCTACCCTTTATATCTCATCCAAGCTGTTTAGGGCAGGTAGCACTCATACCCTTCTTCTGCATTGTCTCCATCCAAGCATCACACCATGAATGAATCCCAGTGCCACACACTCTAGATCCAACCACTTCTGAAAAAGCCCCACCTATGACTACTTGAGGCTTTGGGGGAACATCTAGATACTACCATAATACATATATTCCACTGTACTTTGTTATTTGTCTGAGTACCAATCTCCATACTGTTTGATTTATGAAGGGGGAATGAGCATGTCTAAGTCATTCTTCTGTTCCCAGACTTTAGTAAAGTTCTTTGCCCGGGTGGTTGGAGTACTCAGTCTTCATTGCCTGGGGATTTCTCTGTTTTAGAATTGAAATGTCTATCTGTTACTCTTTATGGGATATGTTAGCATAGCCTACTGAAATCTGTATATCACCACACACATGCCCTTCCCCTTGACAACAATCATGCCAACTAAATTTAGAGCCTCTTTGGAATATTGAGATAATGCAGAGAAAAAAGAATCCTCATAGATCAAATAATTTTAGGAAACATTTTGATACCATGGTATTCAACAACATTATGAAAGTAAATGATGAAATACATTAAGATCAGTATTATCAGATAATTTTAATAAATACAAATTAGGGACTTCAGTGTTTCCATAATTCTGGCTCAGTCCGGTCATTCATTATCCTAAGCATAGACATCCATATTAAAGAGGGCACTTTATCAGGAAATGCATGGTGAGAGAGTCAACATTAAAAAAGGATCATGATTTGCAAACTTTTTTCTCTTCTGAGTTAAAAATTTGTTCTTAGGAGCTTTTGACCTTTTGCAGAGAATCTATTAGGGACTCTAAGTTTCTAGATATATATGGCTTTCCTGGCATATTGACTCTCAGCTTTCTTGAGTATTGATGTATCAGAAAAAAAATTACAGTTCAGTCACCAATTATAATGATAGAAAACAGATGGCAAAATTTTCTAAAATGAAAATAAAAAGAGCATTATTAACTTGTAAGCCCGTTTTGTAAAAAAGCTTTCAATAAGTTTATTTCAAAAGAGCAAAGTTGCAATGAAAATAACTTTGACTTCCGAGTCTCCTTGTGCCTCCCATAGCAGCATTGTCCACAGTCAGTCACTACCTGTTTGGAAGAATTAGGACAGAGAAAAATTAAAAAGTCAATATAGCAATTCTCCTTCATCAACATGGTAACTACAGTGCAGTTTAATTCATTTTTCACAACTTGCTTTGACAAAATGAATAAGTGACTGCAAAGTTTTGAACCTGTAGTTCATGAAAGATACATTTAACTTCAGGGTAATTTAACCACTCTCAATATTCTCATTTGTCAAACGTGATGATCTTTCACATAACTACGAGATTCTAGAGTCATTCTGGGAATCAAGTGAGAGAGTAGAGATGAAGATGTTTTGGGGTTTATTAAATACTGTCCATGTGAATGGCAGTACACATTCCATTCTTCCTTACGGTGTCACAACCATTCAGTTTGGGTAGGATTCACCCTTCTGCAACTCCAGAGATGGGATTTAATTGGTCTAAATCCATTGGGTCACAATAATTGATTCAAAAGTTAACAATTAATCTAAATTAGATTTACATGCTTCTAATCTAAATGATTTTACCAGGAAAAAAATAAATGAAGTGTTTTTGTTTGATGTTAGAATGTAAAGCATATTCTCCCTGCCCCGTCCCCCTTTCTCTCTTTCTCCTCTCTGTCTCTTTCCCTCTTCTGTCTCTATCTCTCTCTTCCTCTCTCTTCTTGTCTCTCTTTTCCTCCTTCTGTCCCTTCCTCCACCTTTTCCTTCTCTCTCTCCTACCCCTCCTCCTTTTCCTCTTCCTTTCTTTTTATTCAACACCTCTGGAGTCAATTATGTTAACCAGTCTTAAGATCAAATTTATACCACAAAAGACAGAGATAAAAAGAATGGAAATAGGTTGACCCCTTTGAGTCACTTTTCAAACTGCAGTGTAAACAATCTATCTTTGAACACAGTGGTTGCTGAATATGCTTAATATAAGGCATACACTGCTCAAAATAATCTCTCTCCGAAAAGAAAATATTGATTTTTTAATACTGTGACAAGTCATTCACATTATAAAACGCTCTCTTTAAATACTTCCCTTGGAATAAAAAAGTTGTTTGGGGAAAATATAGTAGCATGTTAACTAATCATTATCAGCTTTGGGTGAATACAAAGAATACTTGCAGATTTGGTAAAACAAAACAAGACAAGACAGGAGAGTATTTGAACAGGAACTCAGTGATTATTGTTGAGTGTGCAATTTGGAAGTACTAGGCTTCCAAGTACTAGAATGATTGAAGGAGGACTTTTGCAATCACATTTTACAGATTCATAAAGAAAATGTATATATCATTTTAAGATAAATAGGAAAACCATGTGGCTTTGTAGAATATTCCCACAGTAGCATTTAGACACAAATGCTTAAAGTGCTATGATACAAATACCCCACACAGAAGTTAAAAGTATTTCCTCTTAAAATTATGAGAAAACTCAAAACACGGTTCTCATGAGGACAAAGACAATGCATATCTAGAATTCAATGACTTCTGTGAGAAATGAAATGGGGAAAATGTTATATTCCAACATAATACATTATTTGTCTCATAAACTACTTAAACTACATGTGCAATTAAATTAATAAACTAAATGGCAGAGGAAAATCTTTACAGTTTCTACATGGGATAGTGTACATACTCACATCAGATGGCCTTTTCCAAAACCCCCTCTTTGTCTTTCACGGCATCTGTGGCTCTGTAGAGGTAATGTGACAGGACATGGTCATATTGTAGTTGGAAACTTTATCTCTGTCTCTTACTTGAATCTGCAGTTAAAAGCCCTTTCTCTTCTAGTTACTATGTGATTCTGGAAAGGTTTTTTTTAACCTCTACAGGTTTTCACTCTGTAAGAGAGATAATTATAGTTTTTTCTTCATAACCTGGTATAGAATTTAAATGAAATGATACTAGAACAATGACTGTGAATATCTCGAATATAAAATATACATGGAACAAATAAGTGACTCATTGAATGAAAACAGAAAGAGAGGGAGGATCATTTTTCAAGTGAATAAAAATTATTTTTATACCCTTAGTCCTTGGCACAAAGCCTCATGAATGGTCTGCTGATGATTTCTGAGTACAGTTGTCTAAAAATGCTTGCTAGACAGACTGGGTCTCTCCCTGCTGTATCTTACCTAATGGTCTTACCTGTGTAATTTTACTTCTGAACGTTTTCATCCCACAGCCACTTTCTAACCATGAAATTGGCAGCTGCATATGTTAACAGTACTTTAGAGAGATACTTAATTAATTGTAAAGTCTTTTGATATTTTTGCATAGAACTGTAAGTTATTTTAATGGAAACCTTTTACAGGATTGGTGGTTTTAAAGATTTTTTTTCCTTTACGATGTGAATGCTAAAAATGGATTTTGAGTATAAAATGTACAACTGATCTTTAAAAACTTAAAATTACATTCTGAATCCATCATTTCATCTTGATAATAATTACCTTCATTAAAAACATCAAGAATTTAAAGTAAATAAAATGCTTCATGAAACAAAAATGTCTAAGACAATAAGCAACTTATTTTTGGTTTTTTTTTTAGTTTACATGTCTATTACATTATTTAAATCCTCCTACGTTATGAATAAGATATTTAAAGTAGATAACAAAATGCTAATTAATGTTTGTTGAGCATTATACGATATACTAGAGACTATAAAAATCAATTCATCTGTACCACCTCGGTTAAATATGAAAGAACTCTATTAGATAAGATTTTTATTATTCTTATTTTATAAATGTAAAAATAATTTTAGAGAGACATTGAGTAATATGCCCAACATCATGTAGTAAAATAAGACTTAAAATAAAGCTAATAATGTTAGAGGTCACACTTGTAGTCAATACACAACATTGGCTTTACTATATTTATTACAATACACTAATTCTGTGGGTCAACAATTGGTTATATCAGAACTGCAAGAAATTTGGTCTGGAAAGCATCCTGAAGCCCTCTACAGCTAGTTTTCCCTCTCATGCAGGCTGTGTTCAAAGTATTGCCCCATTTTCTCCTCTTTCCACTCTATTAATGTAGCACCTACCTTGTGCCAGGCACAGCACCAAGTCCGTGTCATCAAGATGGGTGAGACACTGTCTCTGTCCTCTGATGAATATACACTGATTGAGTGAAAGAAACAAGTAAATGACTTGCATGTGAACTGTGTAAAGCTGTACTGGAGAAAAGTGCAGAGCTGGTTTTTTGGGTTTTTTTTTTTTTTTTCCCGCCTCCAGAGCTGGGTTTCTCCAAATGCTGCCCTGAACCAGTGTTGCCTGGGGACTTTTTGAGAATGCAAATCATTGCACATCAGAAACACCTGATGTGCTGTGGTGTGGCACTCATCAAGAATGTTTTCACAATGCCTCTAGGTAATTCTCTTATACTAAAGCTCAAAAGTCACTGGTGTAGAGCAGAAACACCAGACCAGGGTTTCTGGAGTGAACTTTCAGCAAAAAAGACTAATATTTCAAGCAAAGGGACCAATACGGCCAGCCCAGAAGCAGGAGGAAGCATTTCCTAACAAGAAATTGCAAGTTATTCAGTCTGGCCAGTGTTAGAGTACACGGGCAGATGCAGCTGGCCAAGTGAAATGGGCCACATCATGCAAAGCCTTGTAAACCATCTTACTGAGACTGAGACTTACACTGAAAGCAACTGAGAATCACTGTAGGATTCCACGTGAGGAAAGGATGAGGCAAATCTGAAAGCCGGGAGATAGAGTTAAGACTTAAGATTTTTAAAAATGTTTTAAAAAGAGATATGAAAAGATCAGTGGGGAAAAAAGATAAAATAACACATTTTAAAGGTATTTTGATCAAATTATGCTAACTAAGGGAAGGTAGGGGGCTGATAAGTAAGGAAGATTCAGAACAAGCCCTTCACCTTAAGTGTTACCGCATGCATCATTCTGTGCATTTTATGCCTTCAGTCCAAAGCTTCCCTGTTGACTCACAAAATCCTGCTTGACATCCACCTGTGTGAAACCTGGAAGAGACGAGGTATTAAATGTCCCATGAGCCAAATCTACAATGATTAGAAGCAGGAAATTAATAGTTAAATGGTTCTCCTTTGATTTCCTGAATGAATAGTCCTCACACCTAGTTGTAATAACTTCTTGGGTAGCCAGATTGATATTATGTCTTCTTTCTTTACCTTTGTTTCTCATTCTTGCCCTCCGAAATTATATTGCCTAACAAAGCAGCCTTTTGCTTTGTGGGAAACTTGAGATAATTCACTAGTGTTATTCTACTGTGATCATTCCACTACATGCAAATTATTATGCTAGGTTCTAGGAATAAAGCCATAAACCAAACATAACCACTGACACTATGGGCTTAGAATCTATGTTTTATATGACAAGCTGACTAATGCAGTTATTAGAAACACTTTGGTGGAGAAATGTTAGTATTATGAAAAAAATCAAAAGAGATGACACCTTTGGAAAAAAATTAGGCAGATAAGTTGAATGGAAATCATTAATAAAGTATCCAAATGAAGTCTAATAGACTAATAAGATTCATGAAAGGTGGGTCCTTGTTTTTCCATCTTTCATAAAATACTTTTTGTTTATAAAATTATCAACTTTTCTCCTATCTCTGGCAATTTTTAAAATTATTGTTCACTAGTTGTTATATTTCTGCCTGTGGATAGATGGAACAGAAGAGACTGCGGAAAGTATACCTCATCCTCAACTCATAGTTTATCAAACACTTTTTAAAATAAATATGTTTCTACATACAAAACAAGAATAATAGATTTGCTTTCAGTTGGGTTCCAAATAAAAGGCATATAGAGTATAATACTGTAAAATACAAGCCTTCCTACTACTAAGTTTTCTATGTATTGCACACATGGAAAAAATACTCCCAAGACTGACAAAATGGTCTGTACAGGAGGAGAGGAGAACAAAGAATCCTAACTCTCTGATCCTCATATGTTTTGCAATATACAGTCTCTTCTCTGTTAAGAGAAGCCTTGGAAAGTGGTGGGAAGAGTTGAGTGCTCAGCTCTGCAGAGCCTCTCTAAGAGTCACAACGACCCATTTCCCTTCAAGTTAGTTTCCTTAAACAGCAATGCACTCCATGAGTCATAGAGATCTGGACAGACCACCCGTGCTGTTCTGTTCCAGCATTGTCAACTAGACACTTGCTCTGTAAGCTTTCTGCACTATGATGGGAGATGGAGGGGTAGAAAAACACCTTACCACTACAGAGTTCTCATTGGAATCTACAAAAGGAGTCAGTAAAACCAGTGTCTTGGATCAGTGCTCCTCAGACATGCGAATTGCCTGGAGAACCAGCTGAGATGATTTAGATTCAGTCTGAGACCTGTGGTGTGCGTTGTCACCACAAAGCCAAATCTCTGCCTGCAGTCCGTGAACTGTGGTCAGTGAACTGTCAGGTGAAATTTACTGTGGTACTAACACTTAAACAGTGGAAGTCAGCAAACGTGGCAAAGCACCTAACAGACACTTACACACACACACACACACACACACACACACACACACACACACACCTGTTTATAAAGTGCTTACCAGCATACAACTCAGGGTAAAGACTGAGATTTCGCATTTCTACCAAGTTCACAGGTGATGTTGAACCACACTTGGAGTAAGAAGGGATTAGACCACAGACTCTGGAGTCAAATAAGTCCTCAAATAATTCTGATTCTTTATTTGTAACAAATGGAAGGTGGGTAACCTAAACAATTTGCCTGTTAAGCCATGGCGTCTCACTATATTTGGTTACCTAAATAAATCTTACCATTTCTACTCTGTCTTGACAGGATCAGTATTTTCATCTCTAAAAAGGAAAATAAGGATTGGTTTCTACTTCCTAGTGTTACAACCATCAAATTAAATATGCTCAGAACACAATTTCTGACACAGGGTAATTATTCATAACTACTCAAATTTGAAATTTTGTATTCCAGAATACAATTCCATAAATACCACGTTTGTGACAGAGGAAGTCCAAAGGAAAAACAAACACTTTAGAGTGGATACATAAATATCAATATCACTCTACACACCTTATACATTTTTGTCTCCCATTTAATTCTCTCTTGATAAAAACTCACCATGCAAAATTGAAGAATCCAAAGAGTTTAGAGCATTGTGGAAGGAAAGAAAAAAAATAATTTTGTACTATGTATGTCAAGGAAAATGCAATTTTTTAAGAAAAAAGCATTCTCTCTTTGCTTTCCCTTTCATGTTGATGAAAGCGTTTCTCCTTGACATGGAGACAACATTAGACATTTTATGTTTGTGAAGCTCATCATACACCTTCCACCCCCAGGCTCATGAATTACTCAATCCTCCAGGAGGATTCTCCTGACTTCCTGTGGAGCAAACTTTGCAGTTTCACAAGCAACTTTCCCCTGAATCACTTGTGCGTCTCCAGTGCACCTGGGTGATGAATATCTCCTTCAGAAGATAACTGAGTGCTTGTATTACCTGCTGATTCTCACTTGGTGTAACAAGCCCTCTCCCAATAACTCCAGGAGGAAAGGCTGGAACATGAGTCATAACATATAGGAGAGACAACCTGTTTTCATTTTCAATTCAGAATGTGATAAGCCTGGCAATAAATCGACTTCAGGGTTTTTTAAGCAGGAAAGGAAATAAAAAGATGGATACTGAAATTTCAAAAAAAATCCTCTTGTATAAAGCCTATTTTTGCCTACCTTTCTGAAATATTAAAAAATTACATCTGCATAATGTGCCATAATGCAGACAATAATAACAGACAGATATTTTATTGCCATGGAAGTAATTTTCAACATTTTTGGTTTTGTTTTTCAGAACCACAAGAAAATGACACAGTACCATCCATCACAAGTGCCCGGGCAGCACTCAGCACAGGAAGATTTGGGGCACATCTCTCAGGGGTGCTAAAGGATTACACAGGCAAGGTAGCTGAAATGTCCCTCATTCCTCCTCATTCCTGACGGGGTCACTTTTGTTAGGCAAGAAGCATACACATTTCTATGGAGTTTACATGTCTTGCATCTAGTCTTTCTCTTGGCAGAAAAAACAAATACTCATTGACAAAGTTATTAACCACAGAATAAATCCCATCCTCGTACATTTTTCTATGCTCAAGAAAAGTCCATGACTCATCAAACTACCTGTTCTAGTGGTAAGAATTTACCAAAGCTGCACACTAACACCTATTAATTATCCTCTGAGAATTAGTTTTGTCTCTCTCATCTGTAGAAGTGAAAATAATAACCTTGCAAAATTATCATAAAAATATAAATAACCCATATGAATACGGGCAACAAATTTCCTGGATTCAAAAGACCCTGCGTACAGGTAAGGTCCCAAACAGAAGAAGCTCAGATATTCTACTTAAAATAAGGAAGGGAAGCCACACCTTTCCTTTATTTAGGCAACTGAATGTTACCAATTGCTGGTCCCCATAGATCACCCAACCTCCTCTATGGTCTTTTCATCTTAATGCCTCAGTAATTTTTCCCCCACTATCTGTCTTTTCATTCAATATGTTCTCTGTGTGACATCTCATGCTCCCCCAAATGTTAAAAATCCAAATGAAAATAGCCCAAATGCTTTACATTAGAATCACTCTGCTAAACTGTCATCCCTCTGGCTTCATTTTTTCATTTTTTTCCTAAACAGTTGCGTGCTTTTTTCTAATCCCTACAGAAGAGCAAAGTATTAGTGTTGAACTCAGTTCACTTGGGCTGTGTTTACACAAACAGAGAAATTTTGGAATAGAGGACGACACTGGGAGTTGCGGGGTAGGGAAGGTTCTGAGCTGGAAGGCTAGTAGTAGATGTAATCTTAAATCACAACTAACACTAGCTCTATAAATGATGCCTGCCAACCCACTGAGCAGATTGAAAACCCAGACCATACCATGCAGCTGTGTTAAATGAGGCCGGGGAGAGATACCTAGTGACAGCAGCAAATGGAAGTGGTGTCCAGGTATCTTCATGGTACAGTGATGGTAATTTCAGAAGAGCAATACAGTTAAGTTGCCAGGCTAAATGGGTGTGATTACCAGGTCCAGGAGAAAAGAGCCAAGTCCAAACTGGGATGGATTCCTAACAGGAGTATTCTGGACCTTGCAGAGAGAGAAAACTATTCAAGATTTTACAGTTAAATAGTCTGTAGGATCTTAAAGCTTTCTTTAGGGATTATATTT